ATAAAACAAATTCTTTAATTTGGAACTTTAGTATATAACAAAAGAAAATTAAGAAATAAGAGTATAGGTAAAGTAAACTATAGACATATTCATACAAATATTTTACATGGCTGTGTTTTTGAACTATCAATCAACCTTTCTCTCCCTTCCCCTACCCTCCACACACACTGGGGATGAGCATCATTTTAGCTATACTCAGTGTCAGCCCTGCTTCTTCGTTACCTTTACCTGTCCTTATTCCAGTTATTCTCCTCAAATTCCAAACTGGTCCTCACCATTAGATTGTGTGAACCCAAGATCGTACATCTACATCTCCAAAGCTTATTGTCTGTATGGTCATGACATTATTACTTGGCTGTCTTCATTAACATGACTTCCACTGTCTTCCTCAACACAACTTCATTATTCTAGGAAGCTCTGGACCAGAGAGATAAAAATTTATTATTTATTCTCAACACTTTTTGAAACTCTCACTCAAAACACTGGTCTTGTGTCCACCAATCCTAAACCATTATATCATAATCCTTCCCTAATTCTAATCAAGCCCTTGTATTGAAAGACCCATCTTTTTTTTTTTTTTTTGAAAGACCCATCTTAAACCAGAAGCTAAAACCCTCATAAATAGTCCAACATTGTCCTTCCCACTCCAAGATGCTATTAAAACTTTGTCGAGGAAGAAGAAAGCTTCCTTACCATGGTAAGCAACAAACTCAGTTTTGCCTTAGCAGCAGATTATTTTGATGGTATTTTTAGGGAACCAGCATACAGCAGTTGCAAGCCTTCTTGGATGGATGTCCTCCTTCTTAGTTTGATGATTACAGTAAATAAGAGGGGGGTGTGTGCACGTGTGCGTGTGTAATTCGATCCATAATAAGAAAGGTTTTTATATCTACTGCTAATGTGGCTGGGGCCTTTTCCTGTTTCTTCTGTCATCACACTCATGCCGTCCCCTCCACTGAACTGCCCTTAAGCTTTCTTCTAAATGCTGTGCTTTCCATTCACTTTCCTTTGTTCTTCTGGTGTGCAGTGAAAGGTCTCAAGCACTCCATACATCTAAAAGTCTACAACCATGACCCTATGGCCACTAGGCAATTCACTGGAGATTATCATAATCCTCCAAAGGACTCTTCTCCCAGTTAGATTTCTCCCCAGTCACACTACTACGGGGCTCCAACCTGGCCTGTCCAGACTGGTTAGTATGGGCTAGACCGGCATTGTTACATCTCTACAGACATGGTTACTCAGACAGCTTCCTAGCCTCTGAGGTCAAAGAAGGCTGTGTTTTCCATGGAAGAACAATGTTGCAAAGCATTCTTTTTAATGGCTGCTTTCTAACCTAAGGAGTCTCAACCCGATGTTATTTTATTGCAGATTCCTGTTTCACATTTTTAACCTCCCCTCACCCTCATGCCTACCAATTCCCAACAAGTTGCTGCTTTTACAGGTGTATCTTTGCAACCTAGTGTTTGCAGTGGCAAAGACCAACACAGAAAGGCTTTTACGTATTTTATGATCATGGAGATTCTGATGTGAGGATTGTAAATTATCATCATGGATCATTAAAGCTGTGCTGCAGTTTTCCTTTTGGAAACCCAGCAATAAAGTGCTCAAAACAAAAGAACAATGTGAAGATAAAGCAGAAACAAAGATCGGTATCATTGGTGACCTAACTTTTCAGGATGGTAGAAGATACTCATTTTTTTAAAACGAGGCAGTAAGTGAAAAGAATGAGTGGCAATTTATATAATATAAAATATATTATAAAATATATAAAAATATAATAAATATATATAAAAATCTATAAAATATATAAATATAATAATATAATATAAAATATATAAAAATATAATTTATATATTTATATAATGAATAGTTTTCTTGCCCTTTGTCCCATGCCTTTTTTAAAACTTTTCCTTTTATTCTTTTTGTCTATTTTTTTTTTAAAGTTAGTGTTTCATGCATTTTGAAGTGGCGTAACTACGGAGAGGCCACAATAAAAATATAAAAAGAAACATAGAATAACAGGTAATAATAGCTGCATTTTCTGCTATGGATTTATAACTGTTAATTTATATTTTGCATCACTTCTCCTAAGATAAATAAGAAGCAGATTCAAAAAAGGCCCCAGAACATTGAGATTTTTAGCAATCTAACCCGCTCAGCAGAGCAATACATTGACAACAGTGGTGAGACACAAGCTTTTTATTATATATTACCTAATTTTAAAAATTAGCATGTTTCAAATATGTGTGTACTATACATATATATATAAATAAATTTTATACATGCCCTATTATACCTATATAATTTATAAGATATGTATGGTACACAAAATAGAAATTTTGTTAAGTGCTAAGGTGAAAAATATACAAATAGAAGATATAATTTTTGTATTTAATCCAAGATTTTCCTACATTCCCTGAGATGAACTAGACTGAACTATAGAATTAGACCTTTCAAGGTTTTCCTTGCATCTTTAAGAAAGATTAAAATAAATAGAAGACTTGGGCTCTTGAAGTTTAATTTACTATTAGAAAACAATTCAAGTTTAATCTAGTAAATTAGTTGTATGCATGTTTGTATTTATGCTATCATGATGAAGTGCTTTCCCTTGCTTGAATAGCAATGATAGAACAAGTGCATTTGTTTTTAGTATCTGATACATTGGGCCCAGGGTTGAGTTTATTAAAGAAACGTATTAGTTGGTATGTACAGTAGTTCCCCTCCTTAGCCACAGGGGATACGTTCCAAGACCCCCAGCAGATGCCTGAAACCACCAATGGTATTGAGTTATATATACTGTGTATACTATGTTTTTTTCCTGTACATCCTTATCTATGACAAAGTTTAATTTCTAAATTAGGCACAGTAGGAGATTAACAACAACAGTAATAAAATTGAACAATTATAACATTATATTATAATAAAAGTCATATGAATGTAGTTTCTCGTCCTCAAAATATCTTATTGTACTCTACTCATCCTTCTTGTGATGATGTGAGATGATAAAATGCCTACATGATGAGACAGAGACGGAGTGAGGTGAGTGACATAGCGTTAGGCTACTACCCAACTTCTGATGATATGTCAGAAGGAAGATCATCTGTTTCTGTACTGGGGAAAGGAAATTGTGGATAAGGGGGAACTAGCTGATCATAATTATTAATAATCATAGGTTTTACACAGCTATGATAGGCTATTATCCTATCAACTAGATTATACACTTCTTAGAGAGTGCATCTAATAACCCTTCATTTTCCCAATGTATTTAGCATCTTGTATATAGTAGGTGCTCATGAAAATGTTTACAGTGTTTAAAAAAATAATAACAGGCTTAATATGCAGTCATTTGCCCCAAGACAGCAAACCAAGACTTAGTTACAGAAATGTGATTTTTAATCACCATCTGGAATTTCCAGATCAGCACTAGTGTGGTAATCTGCATGATAGACCTCCATGCAAAGGCGGGTGACCTTGCCTAATACAATGCTTTCTTTTCTTTTACTCATAACTTTCCATGTCCCGCCTGTAAAAGTCTTCCATTTTGTACAGCTTCTTGGAGCTCACTTCTATCTATTAAATGGGATGCAGCCCAATTCGTGAACCATTAATTAAAGCCAATTAGATATTCAAACTTACTCAGTTGAACTTAGTTTTTTAACATTATTATTTCTCTTCATTGTACTTGCTCAGGCACTTGGGCAACTAAGGGTCTCCTGTTTTGCAGCTGGTTTGAGGAGCCTGTAACTGAGGCTTCTGTCCCTGGCATGACAGTTTCTACCCACTGACTTTTGACAGTTGTCAAAGGAAGTGTGCAAATAAACCACTTGCTAACAAAGCTAAAAAAAAAAAAAGTCATTACGTTGACCTTATACAAGTGATACTACTTTAACAATTTTTCTTCTCACCATACTTTTATTTCTCTCTTACCTAAATCACAGACAATTTAGCAACTATAGACTGTAACATAAGGCATTAAAATAAGGGGAGAGAGTGGGGAGGAGACCGTTTTAAGAAATGGAGGAATGGCCTCAGAATTCTCCAGAAGGGAAAAAAAAAATCCCCAGAAAGCCTTCCATCCAAGAAACATCCCATCTCCTTACAGATTAGAACTGTTACCTGGTTTCTGCTTAGATATGATGGGGGCACGGGGGATATGAATCAGTATAATTTACCTCTAAGGTTCTTTTCAATCCCTTTCAATTCTAAGCCTGAACTTTGGATTCAGAATCCAATTCAAAATTGGATTAAAAAGCGCAGCCTCCAACACACCAGAGTTCTAGATTCCCACACCTTCTCTACCTAAAAAAAAATAAAAATAAAAATCTCACCCTCTATTTCACTCTCCGTCTCTGGGATGACCTAGTTGTGCAAAGAGAAAAAGCAGCACTGGGGTGCGCGAACGTGAGCAAAGGTACGGTTCTTGATATGAGACTCCTCTGCAGCCAGAGCGATGTCCAACCCAACTGGCCTCAAATCATTTCACAATTCTGGGGGGCTTTGACTCTCTGTCTTTGGCCCTCAGTAGACTAACCTAGGAAAGTACTGGTCAGGGAGAGCGATTGAGAAAGTGAACCAGGCCCCGAGGCAACATTTCAGATGCTGGGGGCGTGCAGGCATGGAGTCTCCTGTTCATTCTTTGTGACTGGGACCCAGCTGGCTTTGAATTAGAACATGTACAGCACCACAGTTTGGTCTCGGGCCCGGCCTCTGGTTTGTGGCACTAGGCCATTCACCTCGGCCAGCCGGGCCCGGGCTCTGGTTCCGCAATACAGGGATTGCCATCGGCTCTCAATCACACCTGTTAGATGCTTCTCCACTCCTGCCTCCGCCCTGCAAACGCCTCCCGCACCGCGCGGGACCCGAGTGCAGAGCGGGGAAGGAGGCGGAGGAGCAGGGCCCGGCCCTCTCCGGCGGACCCCGGCGGGACTCGGCTCAGAGGGTGGGGCGGGGAGGGCGCCCTGCGAAGGCGGGAGAGCCCGAGAAAGGCGGAGAGGGGCATGGGCAGGGCCGGGGGAAGGGGCGTCACCGCTCGCTTTACGCTCTTAGAGCCCGCAGCACAGGCGGCGGGGCTGAGCCGCGGAGGAGATGGGCTTCGCAGCAGCCTCCGCACTTCTCCTGGCGGCCCCAGCGCCACCGCCCCTCGCCGGGCCGCGGCGCCCGTTAGGCCGCGCAGAGTGAGCTCGGGCGCCGGCCGGCGTCACCTCACCCAGGACTGGAGGGCAGGGCGCGGTGGGGCCCGCGCGTCTCCCGGGCAAGCCAGTTCCGGCTGCCACCCGGCCGCGGCCGGGACGGAGCTCCTCGGCCCCGCAGCTCCACGCACCCGGCGGCGGCGGCGGCGGCGGCGCGGGCTCGGGCGCCCGGGCAGCCTCTGAGCCCATGGCTGGCAGCGATGCGGATGGCGAGGGTCGCGCGCGAAGGAGCAGCGCCGCGCGGCGTCCCGGGGGCCCCGGCGGGCGGGGAGGCGAGGCTGCGGCCAGCCGCCCGGAGCCGCTGTCTACCGCTGAAGCGCCGGCCGACGGGCCGGATGCGCTGCCCGCCTGGATGCGCCTCTACTTCTACGGGATGCACGGGATCACCCTGGACGTGCTCGTGTCCTCGGCTCGGCGCTTCGCCAGCAGCCCGGACCTCCGGCTGCTGGGCTTCTCCTCGCCCTACCGCTGCCTGCTGCACTCCCTCACCCACTTCGCCCTGGAGAAGGTCTACCTGCAGCAGCGGCGCTGCCCCAGCGCCTTCGTCTTCAGTCTTCTCCTCTACCCCTCGGCCCACGTGGCGCTGCAGACCCTGGCCGGCCAGGCACTGCTGCTCGCCTTGAGCAGCGGCCCGGGGGGCGCGGCGGTGCCGGGGACACCGGACCTAGCGCTGCAGTATGTGCTGGCGCTCTACCACTGCCATGTGTTCCTGAAGCGCTTCCTGCGCTTGCGGTACCGGCGGCAGCCAGAGCCTCGGCAGCCGCAGCACGGGCCCGGCGCGCCCCCCGCCCCTCTGGGCGCCGGGGCCCCTGGGGTTGCAGGTGGCCGGGGTGTCGGGGGAGCCCCCAGCCAGGGGCTGCCGGGCCTGCTCCGCTTTCTTTTCTTCGGAATGCACGGCTTTTTGGATGAGATCTTCTTCACTTTCTTCTTTGATTTTCTGGGGCAGAGAGATGGGCCAGCCAGCGGCCACACGTCGCTCTGGTCCTTCTTTATGTACGGCAGCTGCAGCTTCGTGGTGGAAAAGCTCTACTTCCACCTGCACTGGAATCGTGGCTGGAGCACTTGGAAGCGGCTGCCCATCTACGTGATCTTCATCTACGTATGGGAGTTGTCCTGGGGTCTGGGGCTCCGCCTGTGCGGCGCTTGTTCCTGGGACTATTCTCACTATCCGCTCAATTTCATGGGCCTCATCACCCTGATGTATTTACCTGGCTGGATATTCCTTAGTGTGTACCAGGACCTGCTTTCCAACGCGTTGTGGCGGGTGCAGTACATACCAACTAACTAAAAAAAAAAAAAAAAAGTCACTCCATTTCCAAGGACCAATTCGATTTATTTTTACATGTTTAAAACAGAGTGGGTTTTTTAGCCTTTTAATTTTTATACGTTTTACTAAACTCTTCCAATATGTTCTATTCGACATTTTAGTTTTTCTGACACTTTGGAACCTATGCATAATACAGTATTTTGCAGTATTACTCAAAACCTAACTCAAAGTACTTGTCAATATTTAAAACCCCTTACTACCCCAGACAGCAAAACCATTGTACCTTCATTTATTTGTGCATGGGTGGGTGATAACTACTAATCTTTTTTTAAGCAAGGAAGTTATTCAAATCAGAAATTAGCGATCTTCACAAGATTTGGCGAAATTTTCTAATTTAATGATTTGTTTACTTTTTTTAATACAATTTCGTTTTAATTCCCTGCCACATATACCAGTCACTGCTGAAACTCAGTGTCTCGTACTCCTACTACCGGTAATAACTCTTAAAGTGCCTCCTTCTAGCACACAAGTGGAAAGAAACTGACAAATGTGAAAATACATCCTGTGGATCGATTTTTAAATAAATCTTTTCTAGCGACTCAGACAGGTAACACTGTGTTAAGATATTTGATCTCCATCCTGGAAATGATTGTTTTTCCAATGTGGATTAGCCTTAAACACCAAGTGTGTTAACATTGATCAGATCCTGTGTTATCTATGGCTGTACATTTTTGTTGTAAAATGTTTACCTTATATGCCCAAAGGCCAAGCAGAATTATACCACCCTCAGTAGTGTTCTAACTCTAAGGACTCTTTCTACTTGGAGCTTCAAGAATAGAAACAGTTCCTTGGAATAAAATGAACCTGAATGTTCACTGTACTTGAATTAGGCCTAATTGTTTACCGTGAATACAGATAGTGTTTTCAGTATATTTCTGCCAGAGCTCACTTGTAAACATCTTTCTTTTTCCTTCTGGACCCACAGAGTTCTTGGGCCAAACCTGATGTGCTAATGTGCATTATAAATCAATGATAGCATTTTGGTGACTCATTATTAATGTCTGGAAGCTCTTAAGTTAAATGAGATGATAAAAACCATTTTAAGAAATCTTGTCTAATCAATTAATAATGTCCTTTAAGGTTGGTTGTTGTTTTATTATATTTAGAAAAGACAAGTAGAATTGAATATAGCTCAGCCAAGGATGACTAATACTTCCTCAGTTTTCATTACGAAGATAATTACGAAAACTTACAGTGTGTATAAATGAATAGTTTCCGCTTCAAATTATTAGCTCATGTATGCTATGAAAGGGGACTTCTTTCTGTTTTCAAAAAATGTTTGCTATGGCAGTAAAAACGAATACATATCTAGACAATTGTCAGGAATAATTTTGAGAAGCTATTTTAATCCACTATCTGAGGTTGTGAGCTAAATTTTAAGTAATGCAATATAATCAACCCCACCAGTGAAATGGATCATGTCAAACTGATTATTTTAGCTAGTCAACGCTGAGTAGCAACTATTAAAAGTAAACCAAGTCTTTGCAGAAAGTGTCACTGTATGACACTTGGTCATATATAGGTAAAGGATTTCAGAAATCCTTTCTGAAAACCCTGGCAAGGAAAAAGGATAAGTATAGACACTAAAGTTAGTCAGATGCTGAATAAAATATTTGTAATCCAAATGTGACACATGCACAAGAATCTGAGTTAAGTGTGGCACCACTCCACACCACACATTGCTGTGAATGCTGAACCAAATCCTTGACTTCTAGAATACTTGCTAAATGTACACATTTGCACTTAATGTCCTTCGCATGCTGCTCCTCAGCCCTGTTTACCTGCTCACCAGCATTCTTAGGGTCAGAAATCTATCAGAAAGTGGGGAAGCCTCTTAGTTTTTGTTTGTTTGTTTGTTTAGCTTTAATGTTAATCCTATTTTAAAGAAAAGGTCAAGATTTCCATTCATTCCGTTAATTCAAGAAATAGTTATTGTGCACCCACTCTTTGCAAGGCATTTGCCTGAATTCTGCAAATACAGCAATGACCCAGTACAGACAAAATCTCTGTCCTTATGAAGCTCAGGTATTAATGTTTTGATTTATAGGAGGTTATACTAACTTGCAAGGCTACTGTTTTAGTATTTTTTTTTTAAGATTTTATTTATTTATTTGACAGAGAGAGAGACAGTGAGAGAGGGAACACAAGCAGGGGGAGTGCGAGAGGGAGAAGCAGGCTCCCCGCTGAGCAAGGAGCCCGATGTGGGGCTCGATCCCAGGACCCTGGGATCATGACCTGAGCCGAAGGCAGACGCTTAACGACTGAGCCACCCAGGCACCCTACTGTTTTAGTATTAACAGCCCCTCTGCTAGTTCTACAAAGACTTCATTCATATGTATTCAGGAAGTGATTATCCTGTCTATTAATTCAGCACCTTGCTACGGGGCTTCTCAATATATGTTTATTCAATTTCTTAAGTGACATTTTGCTGTAACAAACTAAAGAAAAAACAGGGCAAGAACCATCAAATCAATTTTGTTAGCTCATTAGCAGTTCAGATATAGAAGTGATGAGTCAATATAATAATAGTTAATATTTAAGTAACACTAGATATATATACACATACACATACATACAGATACACATGCACATATTTATTTAAACCTCTAGCAACCCTCCTTTTACAGATGAACACAAAGAAACTAAGGCCTGAAGAGGTTAAGTAACAGCTCAAGTCATACAGCTATTGAATATTATGATGTAGATGTTAGGGTTCGAAGACTTCGGCCAAGAAAGAATTCTTGAGATGTCTTTGGTGCAAAAAGTGGTTTTATTAAAGCCTGGGGACAGGACCCGTGGGCAGAAAGAGCTGTCCTGGGGTCCCGAGGAGTGGCCCATTATATACTTTCAAGGTGGGAGGGGATTAGGGATAGCCTAAGTCTCTAAGGAATTTTGGAAGCAAGGTTTCCAGGACCTTGAGGAGGCTAGCTATTGTTGGGAAAAGGTCATTTATTACTGTCTAATAAAACCTTACTTATGAGACCCTTCAGATGTGTATCGGTGGGCCATATGCTTGGGGGATGATAACCAACACGTATCTTGGGGGGTTTAGAGATAAAGGAAATTTCTAAAGGTATTTTTATATGTTAAGATAGACTTTCAGGATCTGGCAGGTTGGGCTAAGGTTACCATTTTCCCTTAGCCAAGTATTAAGTCAAAGCAGCTGAGTCCCTAGAGGAATGTCACTCTGCCTGTTTCAAGGACTTGTCATTGGGCTATAGGTAGTAAGGAAATTTAATAATTTTTCTTCTGCCTTTGTTTCCCATATCATTTAGACTTGAATCCTAGTACACTCTACTCCAGGGTCTGTTCTTTTTTTTTTTTTTTCTTAACAGCAACACTGTCATGCCTCCGTTCATTGACCACAATGATTTTGGATGTTCTTTGGATTTCACCTTACAATTTGTATTGCTCTTCCCTTTCATTGTCACAGATGCAAGGGTAGATGTATAAAAGCCAGGCACTAGTAACAAAAATATTCTATTCCGTGAAAAATAAGAAGGGAGCTAATACCAGGATACATAACTGAAAATCAGCCTAGTTCTAATCCTTAAATGATAGTCTTTATATTCAAGCAGTTCTCTGAAATGGAGTTCTTCATTTGAAGTTAGACAATCTTGATATAAAAATAATACACCAAAAGGTATGACACCTTATATCACAAGCTAGGAAAAATACATACAATCATTGCTACATATTTAACATAGCAGTTGGAATGAGCATCATTGTAAGAGCTAAACAGTCCAAAAATTAAAAATAAATTGTTTGCAACAACATTTATTCTGAGTTCGATTAGACACCTTAGAGTCTAAGAAAATCTGTAACAGAAAACATGGAAAAAAAGTAACAAGTATGAGTTTTGCTCCATGTTTAACTTCTACAACACTGAAATTTTCTTCTAAAAGTGCTTTAAATTTTAAATCCATTCTATCTGGGCACTGAATCTACAGAGAAATATGACCTTTTAAGTTTTTCATGTCAACAATGAACATGAAAGTTTTTAGGTTCTGCAAAGACTCCAATAAGGTTGATAATCCATTTCAATATTTCATAAATTTCAATGACTCGGTGTACTTAACTTTGAATATTTTATCAATATTTGCCATTTCACATTTCAACTCAGCAAAACACAGCTTAGAAAAGTATGACCTGTCCTTTGTTGTTTAAGAAACGTTTCTAATTGGTTAACCCTATCCTTTTGAAAAAATAATTTTTCTATACTGTTTTAAAATAGACTCTGTTGGACGTAATGGACTTGGTTCTGTTTAAGAGGGATGGTGAAGAATTTTGGTAGACTGTTTTGGTTCTTTTTCCACTTCCAAAATACATTTAAAAATCAATATGCTTGGAAAGGAAGTTATACTCATGCTACAGACTTGGAGTGATAAATAAATCATTGTATTCTAATACCTGAAAGCATTTTAATAAAATCAATTTTTGCTTATATTAAGAGGCATTAAAAACACTTTACATTTTAAATTAATTTTAAATATACTATCTCCATTATATTTTCCAACTTTGTTTAATGGAACTAAGCTCCTTTACTAAGGGAAAATAAAAGAAACACTCTTCCCCTCCCTCCATCAAACACATGCCTCAGTTTATGCTGAAGGAGAAGGTGGTAGTAAAAGATGGTTCTGTTGTGTTGCCAGTTTTTTTTTTTTTTCTTTCTATTCTTAGACTTGGTACCAGAGGAACCAACAAAAACAGCAATTGTTTGTGTGGACTTCTATTCACTAGAATTGGCCTCATTCTGATGTTTAACATTGAGGCACGAAGCCATCACATAAGCAGTGACGTCCAGACACTAACAACCAATTGTAAATTATAGAGAATTTTTCCCTAGAGACTTTTTCTCTTAATATAAAGAGAATCTAAATTTAGAGACTTTTTCCCTTAATTTTTAAATTCTCTTTGCAGAAATGGTCAATTCTTAGGCAGCCCTTAGAAAGAGAGGGTGGGAGTGAGGGACTGGACTTTGGCATACAGAAAGACTTGATTTTCATCTTTTAATGATTCCATTAGAATCCAAATGTCACATGGACCAACTTTTCCCATTTGGAAAAAATAAATCTTTACCATGATTAAGGAGAGTCAAGGGTTGAAAGAAACCATGAAGGTTAACATCTAGCCTTCCATCCAAGGCAGGAATTTCTGAGAACATCTCTAACAGATGGTTTCTCGACTCAGCTTGGACTATTCAAGGCAGTATTATTATGTTTCTCATGCAAAGACTGAATGAGGGGAAAGCTGTCAGCAGCTGAACTGATAAACCCTCCTGTCTATCAGTGAAGGAAGAAGGCTTTTCAGAGCTTTCAGGAGCTAATATATATCATTCATCCTGCTTGTGTATTGCAATGAAAATTTTACGACACTCTTTTCCCGTGACTAAAAAAAAAAAAAATCAGGGTTTCATTCTTTTATCATGATATATATAGTCTTGCATCTTTTTTTTTTTTTTTTAAGATTTGTTTATTTTTTTTGTCAGGGAGCGCTCAAGAGCACAAGCATGGCGAGCGGCAGGGAGAGGGAGAGGGAGAAGCGGGTTCCCCGCTGAGCAGGGAGCCCGATGCGGGGCTCCATCCCAGGACCCTGGGATCGTGACCTGAGTCGAAGGCAGACATTTAACTGACTGAGCCACCCAGGTTCCCCTGGTCTTGCATCTTTTCAAATGATGCTTTATTCACTGAGTCTAAGCAGCAGGCCTTTGAGAACTTTGAGAGTAATTGACATTACTTCAGAAAAAGAGGAAAAAAGAAACATTGCCTTTAAGTAGAGGAGTAGAGGGTTAAATAGTAGGGACCCTGCTTGGATCGCTGGAGTCTCATTGTGGCTGGACCCTGGAAGAGCCTTTGGTTGCTGCTCAGGTCCATCTACAGAATGTCATCTGGTAGCTTCCTCTAGCAGACCTAAACAGCCGCATTAAGAAAGGAATTGAGGGCGCCTGGGTGGCTCAGATGGTTAAGCGTCTGCCTTCGGCTCAGGTCATGATCCCAGGGTCCTGGGATCGAGTCCCACATCAGGCTCCCTGCTCCTTGGGAGCCTGCTTCTCCCTCTGCCTCTGCCTCTCTCTCTCTCTGTCTCTCATGAATCAATAAATAAAAAATAAAAAAATAAAAAAAAAAAAAAAAGAAAGGAATTGAGGGCGCCTGGGTGGCTCAGTCCGTTAAGCAGCGGCCTTCAGCTCAGGTCATGATCCCCAGTCCTGGGATAGGGCCCCACGTCAGGCTTTCTGCTCTGCGGGGAGTCTGCTTCTCCCTCTCCCTCTTGCCCTTCCCCCTGCTCTTGTGTGCTGTCTCTCTCTCTCTCTTTCTCTCTGTCAAATAAATAAATAAAATCTTAAAAAAACAAAAAAAAGGAATTGAGAGGCCACAGGTGTCACAGAAGCAAGTAGCCAGGAAGGATGAAAGATGCCACGGATCAACTCTCCCAATCAAAAAGAAAAGAATTATATATTAAAAAGAGAACTAGCCCCACTTTTGATGAGATTCCAACAGACATTTATATTACATCTGAGATATTTTATTAACCTATTATTAATATCCAGGATGAAAATAAAACTAGTCTCACAGGATCTCAGATTCAGAACTTTAAATATTTGAAAAGTAGTTGTTGTTGGAGAAAAATAGTATTGAGAAGAATATGCAGAAAGTTTACATCATATCATTTTGATGACCCAATCACTTTTAGGAACGAAAGCGAAATTAAGTATGCTCTTGTACATTTCCGAAGGAGAACTATTTTAGCCTTAATCTTTTATTAGAAACAATGAATGGACAGGAAGATAAAATAAATAAAAGAGTTCCCTGGAGTACATCAGAGCAAGTACTTAGATCCCAAGTACTTAAAAGCAAGCATTTAACAAAATTTATCATTGTTCTTACTTGTAATGATGAAATTTTCAACAAACAAAACAGAAACAAAAGAATAATAAAGGCAGAAATAGAAAATATGGTGGAAGGGATAGTATTCAGTAGCTTTAGAGAGCCCATGGATTATTTTTCTATGGCTACAATAATTCAGATTATGAATGTTATTCTAAGCCTTTATATCATGTAAGATTTGAATTGCAAAGAAAATGTTAAGTTCTTGAAATACTATACACTCTAGGTTTGGTGGGGGTACCAAAATGTATACTTTATTATGTTAATATTTATTCAACAAAATTTTTGAGTTATTTTTTTGTGGGTGTAATTATGTTATTGGACATGCTATAAAAGTTTTAATAATGTGCCTTTGAAGTGTCTACCAAATACACAGGTAAACAGTCCGCAGCTTACTAAAATCTAAAATCATGGTATTTCAGGGGCGCCAGTAGAGCGTGAGACTCTTGATCTTGGGGTTGTAAGTTGGAGCCCCATGTTGGGTGTAGAGATTACTTTAAAAAAAAAATGAAAATCTTAAAAAAATAAGAATAAATAAAATCATGGAACTTTAGAACTTGAGGAGAGAACTAAAGTTCATCTAATTCAACTCCCAGACGACAGAATAATTCCTTCTAGATCATCTTTTACAGGTGTTCTTCCACTCTCTTCTTGATCACATCCAGTAAGAGAGATTATGGTACTTACTCAGCTCTCCCTCACCAACCCATCTCTTTGTTCTATTGTTTTAGTTGCTAGAAAGTTCTTAACAATAAGACACATCTGTAATTTTCACACATTTTCCCAAGTTTTCACCCATAGAAAGAGGAGCAAAGATTTGAAGAAAGTTTCCAAGTGTGTCTTAATTGTTTTACTCCAGGCGAAATATCCCAGATCTTTCTGCAATAGATAATAAAGTATACAACTGGAAAATTATACCTACTTTGACCAGGGCAGTTTATTTCTGCAAATGGGAACAACATTAAACACCGTTAGGTTTTTTAGCAGCTCATTGGTTCTTTTTTTTGTTTTAAATTTTTGTTTATTTACTTGAGAGAGCTTGGGGGATGGGGGGAGGGGCAAAGGGAGGGGTAGAGAGAGTCTTAAGCAGACTCCCCATGTGCTTAGAAAAAAAGGTGGGAGTTGATTAATATCTCCTCTTCTTCCCTCTTCTATTCAGCAACTTCTTTTGTCATGTGCAGAACTCAGGTGGTTCTCTGTAAGAGACTTTAACTGCATTATAGATTTTTAAAATTTGTAGGCTATTCAGAGAACCCAAGTACCCTTTGAAATATGAATTTAAAAAAATTGATATGCACATGAACTAGTTGGCAATATATGTATTACTACATGACACTTCCCTGAAGACCGACTTGCTTAGTTTGCAGCTTGTTGATGCCTCTTGATTTTCATTGTTTTTTGCTGATGACCTTCTGGATTTTGGCAACTTTTGAATAGAAAATAAAAATAAAATTCAAAATTAGTTATATTTAGAAAATTGCTACTAGTGGCAGGTGGTAAACATTTATGTTTTGTTATCTATGTATCTGATCACTTGCTATATTTCAACTCCAAATATTATTGGCAGATTGTATTAGTTAGGGTTCTTCAGAGAAACAGAACCAATAGGAGACCTATATCTGTAGGTAGACAAATGTAGTGGTAGATAGATATAGAAATAGATAGAGATATACAGAGAGAGAGAGGTTTATTATAAGGAATTGGCTCACCCAAGTAATGGACGCTGACAAGTCCTGAGACCTGCAGGGTGAGTCTACAAGCTAGACCCAGGAGAGCCAATGGCGCAGGTTCTAGTCTGAGCCCAAAGGCCTGAGAACCGTGAGAACCAGTAGTGTAGTTTCAGTTCAAGACTGGCAGTCTCAAGACCCAGGAAGAACTGATGCTTCATTGGAGTCTGAAGACAGGAAAATACAAATGTCCCAGCTAGAAGGCAGTGAGGCAGGAAGAATTTCCTCTTATTCAGAGAAGGTCAGTCTTTTTGTTCTGTTCAGGCCTTCAGCTGATTGGATGAGGCCCACCCAAATTAGGAAGGACAATCCACTTTACCTCATCTATTGATTTAAATATTAAGCTTGGGACGCCTGGGTGGCTCAGTTAGTTAAGCATCTGCCTTCAGCTCAGGTCATGATTCCAGGTTCCTGAGATCGAGTCCCACATTGGGTTCCTTGCGGGGAGCCTGCTTCTCCCTCTCCCTCTGCCTGCCACTTCCCCTGCTTGTGTGCTCTCTCTCTCTCTCTCTCTCTGACAAATAAATAAATAAGATCTTAAAAAAAAAAAAAGTGATGGGGTGCCTGGGTGGCTCAGGCGGTTATGCATCTGCCTTCATCTTGGGTCATGATTTCGGCATCCTGGGATCGAGGCCCACATCAGGCTCCCTGCTCAGCAGAGAGTCTGCTTGTCCCTCTCTCTCTGACCTTCCTCCCCACTTGTGTCGCTCTCTATGTCTCAAATTAAAAAAATAAAATTTTTTTTAAAAAGTGATGGTGGAGATGGACTAACATACATAGATCTGAGAGACATTAAAAAGGCCCA